GTAATATATTTCAAATTTTTAAATATTATAATAATATTTGGTTTCAAGGAGAGACATTAACATTATATTTTCTTGCGAATATGTCAAATTAATTATTGTTTAATCAGAAAAGACAAAATAGTAATCATAGGCATCGCACGCACACAGTTACAATAGTAACAGATTCTACTTTTTGATCGATATAATCAATATTTTTTACTTGACATTGTTTTGTGAACATACCTTGTACATTCTACGATTGTATTTGGCCCACTGGTCCACGAAAAGAAACTTTTTCTCACTGTTTTCTGTTGATTTTGTCGTAGCAGGTCTTTATCCGTTCTTCTCACTCAGGCTTGCAGATCACACTAATAGCATCACGTCGATCGAACATTAGTTTAGAACTATCTAAGTGAACAAAGTGCATAAATTATTTAATGAAAATTATATGAAATTGAATAAACATAACAATAATTCTCACTGTTTTCCATTAATCCTGTCGCAGCAACACTTCATCCGTTCTTTCCACTCAAGCTTCCAGAACATAATAGAGTCGCGTCAGTCGAACGTTAGTTTAGATGGTTTACTGTCTAAGTCAACAAAGTTCATAAATCTATCTAATGAAAATTATATGAAATTGAATAAACATAATAATAATAAAAAAAATACAGTTTATATTTTTATCTTAATTTTTTTATTGCTTTTAGACATTTTTAATTCACTTACAATAAGTGACTTTTTCCTCGAAGCGTTCTTTATAATATCCGCGTATTTTTACATATCTTTTTAAATGTCACACGTAGTGGTCACATGACCTCCATCTTTTTAGTTGCAATTTGTTCGTTATGCGCGTCTACGTCACCATAAATTTTTTAACAAATTGTTTGAAAATTGTACAAATTAGTAATGCATAGTGTTCAAAAATGTGAAAAAAATCTACAACATGTAGAGACGAAAAGACCGCGATTATCTTTTTTTAATATTCAATATAATGTTCGAACATTAGGCAATTTACTGTCTAAGTCAACAAAGTTCATAGCTCTATCTAATGAAAATTATATGAAATTGAATAAACATAATAATAATAAAAAAACACAGTTCATATTTTTAATTTAATTTTTTATCTTTTTTAAACATTTCTAATTCATTTACAAGTTATTTTTTCCTCAAAGCGTTCTTTATAATATCCAATATTTTTACATAGTTTTTTAAACGTCACACGTAGTGGTCACATGACTTCCATCTTTCCAGTTGCAATTCGTTCGTTTCGCGCATTTTACATCGTCGTAAATTTTTTAATAAATTGTTTAAAAATTGTGTAAATCAGTAGTGCATAGTGTTCGAAAATGTGAAAAAAATGTGCAATATGTGGAAACGAATCGATCTCGATTATCTTTTTCTAATATTCAATGTAATGTTAAGAGATATATTGAATATTATTTCTCTGCTGGTACTCTTCGAACATTTTCAAAACGGCGCCAACAAGTTTTCCTTGCAAAATTTTCGTGATCTCTCGCTTTTTATTTTAAAATGTGACTTTTATTCTTAATCGCGCACGCGATTACATTAATGATAGATTCTCGGATAAAATGTTAATAATTTATTAAATTACAACGTTATGGCGAGCATTCGGGATTTACGTTAATCAACCTTTAACTGCCTTCTATGGTCTCCATTAGAAGCCACCTCGTTTATGGACTCGAAGCACTCAACAAATGGTAAGTCTTATATTTTTCTTCTTTTTTTATTTACTTCTTTTTACATCGAAAAGAATTTAAAACATTATTACGAATTAACTATCGTGAGTCTAGAAATTCTATATATAAATACTAAATATTCTATATATATATTTTATATATAAATTATATATAAATATATATTCTATATATAAATTGTATATATACAGATATGTGTAAATAGATTTGATAAATAAATTTGAATATAGCAAAACCATTTCATAATATTAATTAGCAAAACTTCTAAACAATTCTTGAATTATTTAATAAACATAAAAAAACATTAAATATTGTATTTAAAAATTCATTTAAATTTCAATAAATAGAGACAAATATAATAAATATAATTTAATTTGTTTATTGTATGTAACATACAATAAACAAATTAAAAATTGTTTGATAAAAAATTTATTTATAGAAAACATACGTATTATTAATAATTTTTTATTATTAATATAAGGATTATTAATAACTGAAATCCAAAATTTTGATTTTTTGAATATATTATTCAAAAGCAGCGTTTTGGGATTGAACATTAATCATTATTAAATAAACAATCAATAATTCTCGTATATAAAAAAAATTCTATATTACCGACGTTATATTATCAACATTGTTGTTATCATTCCAAACTGGTTCCAGTCCAGTAAGAACCGAATTTACCGTTTCTTGACAAGTAGTATTAGTGGCTATACAAGATGTCGCTAAAATGCAAAAATCTGATAATTTAGTATCGGTAGGCGAAGGATGAATTTTCTCGGAATAATTTGATAATCTTTCATTTAGATTATTTTAGTGCTATTAAATTTGTATCCAGCTGGTGTTTATTTTTCTGTTTTTGAAGTTCTATAAATATCACGTTTCTTTCTACAATACATCAGACCACACCTAATTTAAGAATTATTTTTTAATTGTCAATATAAGTGTTATACAATATTGTTAAAATGAGCAATCAAAAGACAGTGCCAACTTCAATAAACTTCCTTTTTGGGGGAACAGCAGGGTTTGTTATTCTTATCATTTTAATTCAATTCAATTGTTTTAGAGTGCAGTGTATATTGTACATGGATTCTAGGAAATTTCTATTGATTTAAGTTTTAAAAATAAGTCTTTCCTATATAGATTTTCATAAAATATTTGTATCAAATATCTTAAAATAGATATTAGAGTTTACATAAGATTGTAATATATGTTACATATGTAACATTATCTTAATACAAAAATAATTTTATGGTCTTTTGCTATTCAAGCTTTAGGAAAGTTGACATTCAATTAATTACTTTATTCTAGAATGGCTGCAACATGTGTTGTTCAACCATTAGATTTAATAAAGAATCGAATGCAATTAAGTGGTACTAAAACATCGACAATAAGTGTAATATCCTCAATTTTGAAAAATGAAGGTGTCTTAGCTTTATATTCGGGTTTATCAGCTGGTTTATTGCGTCAAGCTTCATATACAACTACCAGGCTTGGTACATATGAATGGCTGTCTCAATTAACATCGTGAGTACATATATTGAGATCATGGCCAATAATAAAGTCACCTGACATCATACAATTACCTGATATCCCTTGTGATGTATGTTTAGAAAAGACAGTCAACCAAATTTTGTTATGAAAGTATTGATAGGTTGTACTGCTGGTTGTGTAGGAGCATTTGTTGGTACTCCTGCTGAAGTTGCCTTGATTAGAATGACTGCTGATGGTAGACTTCCTATTGGTACGCTCATTGTTAGTTGAATATTGAACAGAGATTCTCCAATTCTTAGCAATATTATATTTTTAGCTGAGAGACGCAATTATAAAAATGCATTTAATGCATTAGTTCGAATAGTCAAAGAAGAAGGCTTTTTAGCATTATGGAGAGGTACTATTCCGACAATGGGAAGAGCTATGGTTGTAAATGCAGCTCAATTGGCATCATATTCTCAATCTAAAGAAATGTTACTTAATACTGGTTTGTAAGCATGTAAATAAGTAAGATCCAAACGATTGATACAAGGATAATGTTTTTTTTTCTACATTTGGATAGGATATTTTGAAAACAATATTACATTACACTTTGTAAGCTCTATGATATCAGGTTTAGTAACCACTGCTGCTTCTATGCCAGTTGATATTGCTAAAACAAGGTAAATCTTTGAAAAAAGTAAATCAAATTTATGAAAAAGCTTTCATACTTTGCATTATTAATGACTTGCAGGATTCAAAATATGAAAGTTGTGGATGGTAAACCAGAATTTAAGGGTGCAGTAGATGTTATAATTCAGGTCTGTCGAAATGAAGGAATATTTTCATTATGGAAAGGTTTCTTTCCTTATTACGCTCGCTTAGGTCCACATACTGTTTTGACATTTATTTTTGTAGAACAAATGCGCAATTTTTACAAAACGTATGCTTATTCATACAGTTCGTAATACACAAACACATTAAATCTTCAAAAAGTTTTAAGTAGTTTTTTTTTGTATATGTATCTCTCATTTTATATCTAACCTTTTCCAAGTTATACATATGTTTAAAATGAATGTTCACTCCTTTAATATAATTTTAGTTCGTATATTAATGTTTGATGAATACTGTATCATTTTTACACACACGCACAATATTTGTTAACTTTAAATATTAAATATCTTGATAATTTGTACGAATTTTAGTTTAAAGTTCGTCAAGAATTAGGTTACATACATATGTACTTAAGTACATGTGTAACCAATTTTAACATACAGTTTACGTTGACAAATAAGTCTTAATGTTACGCGGAAACAGTACATTCTATCAACACATTCTTCACAGATAAAGAATCGTTTGATACGATTTTTATTTTTTTATTTTATTATTTGTTAGAACTATAAAAATTGTATATTTTATTATTTCATATTTATATGTATAAAAACCTGTTATTACAAGATTATAAATCAACATTTACAATAAATGTCATTTTACAAAATTTGAGATTGTAAGTGAAACGTTGAAACTTACAAATAGTTAGTAACGTATAGTTACTATCAGTTTTATATCTATATATACTACTCAAATTGTACATACAATTGTTGAATAAATGAGAAAAATTACTTTTGTGTATATTAATGCGTTCTTCAGTGAAAGGTGAAATAGCAATGTTTTCTCCCAAAAAATCATTGGATCTTGCATTTGATAGATTAACGTGTAAAGTCTGGGCGAAGTAATCTATTGTTACGTAACATTATGTTTACCGCAATGATTGAAACATTGAAAAATATTTACATATTTAACATGAATAATTTCTGTCTTGTGGAATTGTATATTTGATATTATTTAAATGGTTCATTAATTCAAATTATATTCAGGATGTTGGACAAAGCATTTTGTTTGCATGAGGTTATGTAGGAATGGATATTTTCATCAAATATAAAAAATATAAAAAATTAATATTAGCCAATATGATTATTATCAAAGTATAAAATCAAAGAGTATAAGAATTTTATACTCTTTTTATTTAATATAAGATTTGTTATAATGTCAAGAAAAAGAAAAGACAAAGTTAAAGGGGAAAATGGATTTGAAGATTGGGTATGTAAAAACACTTAGAATTTTGCAATAAAGATAAACAAGTTAAACAAGTTAAACATAAAAATGGGATAATTTTAGGGTGGATATATGGCTGCAAAGCAAGCAAAATTAGAAGAACAATTTCATAATGAAGCGAACAATGAAATTAAAACATCTAATATATTTGAGGGAATAGCAATTTTTGTAAATGGTTATACCAATCCAACTGCAGATGAGCTTCGTCATTTGATGATGTTGCATGGGGGTACATATCACCATTACATGAGGCCAAAAGCAACAACTCATATTATTGCATCTAATTTACCATATTCAAAGATAATGTTATATAAAAAAAGTCAAAATCCAATTCCTATATGTAAGCCTGAATGGATTATGGACAGTATCAAAGCAAACAGAGTTCTGAATTTTCAAAAATATTTGCTTTATTCCCATTGTACAGATGTACAACCACAATTAAACTATGTAATACAAAATATAAAAAATAAAACAGACATTACTTTTTCAAAAAATGATGAAATAAATAGTCTAAAAATCGATAATAATAGAGCTGAAACAATAACACATACTTCAATAAAAGAAAGTACCTCCAACCTTGCTTTACCAATAAATTCAAGAGATACTCATTCGACAAAAAATTCAGAATTTATATCAGAATTTTACAGTAACTCACGATTACATCACATTTCAACCATGGGAGCCACATTTAAAGAGTATGTTAATGAATTAAGAGATAAAAATAATGGTAAATTTCCTGGCTTTACTAAGTTGAAAGATATTAGATTGAATAGATCATTATTTGGTTCTCAATTGGACTTTGATCTTAAGCTTAATGATTTACCAGAAGAAAACAAGATAATTAGTCACGGTTGTATTATAATGCATATAGATATGGATTGTTTTTTTGTCTCAGTTGGTCTTAGAGATAGACCAGAATTGAAAGGCTTACCAATTGCAGTAACACATGCAAAAGGCAATAAGGATGGAGAACATGGTTCATTGTCAGAAATAGCCTCTTGTTCTTATGAAGCAAGGAAAGCTGGTGTGAAAAATGGCATGTTCTTAGGAGAAGCATTAAAAATATGTCCCAATTTAAAACCAATACCATATAATTTTGATGGCTATACAGAAGTTTCTTATATGTTGTATGATATTGTGGCATCATACACATTAGATATTGAAGCAGTTAGTTGTGACGAGATGTATGCAGACTGTACAAAAATATTAGAAGAATCTTGTTTAACACCGATACAATTTGCAACTATAATTAGACAGGAAATAAAAGAAAAAACTGGCTGTCCTGTGTCAACAGGGTTTGGAAGTAATAAACTATTGGCAAGATTAGCAACAAGAAAAGCAAAGCCAGATGGTCAATTTTATATACAGCAGGAACATATTAATGATTGCATTAGCACTTTTAATGTGCAAGATTTACCAGGTAATAGGGAATAATTAAATTAATCGATAGTGCTATGTATGTTCCATAATTACTTAAATTATAATCTTAATTAAATTAATTAATAGGGGTTGGGTGGACGACAACACATAAATTAAAGAATCTTAATGTACGAACGTGTGCTGAATTGCAAACAATCTCGTTGACGATATTACAGAAGGAATTTGGGAAAAAAACGGGTGAAATATTATATAACATGTGTCGTGGTGTAGATAACTCGAAGCTTAATTTAGAACACGTTAGAAAGTCTGTTTCCGCAGAGGTAAATTATGGAATAAGGTTTGAGAACAATGATCAAGCAGTAGACTTTTTAAAAAAGTTATGTCATGAAGTATGCAATCGTTTAAATAAAATTCACGCAAAAGGTAGATGCATTACGTTAAAACTTTTAATCAGAGCGAAGGAAGCGCCTAAGGAAACTGAAAAATTTATGGGACATGGGTTGTGTGATTACATAACGAAATCAAAAAATTTGATCTCTCCCATTAACGATGTCGATATTATAACGAAGTAAGTTGAAAGATATTCTTGATATTCCTATATGAAAAAATAATTCGTTCGTGTTTACTTTAGGGAAGTCATTACGCTTTGGAATCAAATACAAAAAGTGCCTGAAGATGCAAGAGGCATCGGCATACAAATATCTAGACTAGAAATAGTAAAAAATAAGTCTCGTGGTACAATTCTGACAAATTTCATTAAAAGCAAACCAGGTAGCACGGTTCAACAATCTGTGGAAATGAATGAAGGCAATGTAGTTCAACTTGTAACAAATTCAAATGTAGCCGCGACAATATCCGATAATATTGATAATAAACAAAAATTGGATATTCCACCTGGCATGAACAAGTCAGTTCTTCCTGAACTTCCGGAAGAAATACGAAATGAAATTTTGTATCCTAACAATGATAAGAAATTAATGGAGGATAATAAAGATCAAGCGACTGTTAACATACAAAATACGAAGAAAGTACAACCACAGAAAAGTGTGCAAACGCATCATGAGAATTTTTTTAAACAAACGAAAGCTGGCATTTCTAGACCAAAGGTGGAAATGCCACCTATTCAAGAGATTGATATGTCCGTTTTAATAGAATTACCTGAAGATATACGGAATGAGATCCTTAATGAATACAGTGTCGCTAAGAAAAATCAGAATCAAACGAACCTGAACACAGGGACGGATAGTAAATCTTCAACTAGTAAAGCATCAACTTCTACAGAAATAAATCGCGATGAGCAAAACATATCTTACTCACAAGTAGATCCAGAATTTTTAGAGGCACTGTCGGAAGATCTAAGACGCGATGTTCAAATGTATTGTATCGCTAAAAAAGCGGAACATAGTTCGAAAATAAAAAAGGATGAGACAAATAATAATGGACTGATGAAACATGAGAACGCGAAACATAATAAAAAAGTGGAACTTAACTCTAAAAATAAAAACAGTAATAAAAATGGTAAAGGAACGCATTATAAAAATAGGAAGAAAAATGGGCAAGCAGCGCTCAGGACAATTAAAAATGTAAACAAGTCTGAAAACGTAGAGAATAAAGCTAATGCTGGTATTGGAAAATTCATAATACCTTTAGAAGGAGAAACCGAATCTGCGAATGATGAAATTACTGCGGATGATACAGAGGCTATTCTTTCTCACAATCGTACTATCTCGGAAGACAATGACACTGCAAACCAATATCAGGATATTTTACTTGATCTCGTAAATCGTTTACTTAATCTACCTTTGAAACAGGTAGCTTTTATACGTCTTTATATTGCTATTTTATATCGTTATAGATTATTTAACTTAAAAAGATGTTGGATAGGATTGGTATTTAATTTTGATCGAAGAGGAGGCGAGTAATGCATGCTCGTCGTCCGTTTGTAAATAATTTTCATAGGATTAGTGCAAATATAAAATACATGGTTGCAGGTAAAAATGCAAATACAAACGTGGATCGCTAATTCTAAGATCGTGAACGAAGTAGACTTTTTGTCGCTCGCGACATTTCTTAGCATGCTCCCGGAAAAGAAACGCATCGAAGACTTACACGTGTTATTAAAAACCATGCATAGGTAATCTATTATACAAGTTTCACACGTACACCCTTGTAATAGGTGGATATTTAGTAATGTAACACAGAGGATTCAGGGAATAGATATCGTTTTACTCAGTTATGATTGATAAATAAAAATGATATTAAAGACAGTACATTAACTTATTTATGTTCGTATTTTTAGATGTATGACAAAAACTGGAAATTGCATTTGGCATGGGACATATAGGAAAACAGTAAAATACGTTCAACATTATATGCAAATTGAATATAACAGTAACCTCATGGTACCACCAATCAAATGCAATCTTTTGCAGTGTAACAGTGATGTAATGTAAATTTTTCGGAATTTAATAAATTAATATTTTTACAATGAGGTTAATAAGAAACCTATTTACAAGCAAACATGATACTTACCTTCAATTTCATTGAACACAGTATCAGTATTCTTTAGGTAACATATTAATTTACAATCGAGAACATACTTTTTTTTTTTTCTGAAAGAACTATGCTCAAAGGTTTCATATAAATCGGTAAGAAGTCATAAACCTCGAATTCGTACGTATTTTTGTAATATATATATCTATATATATTTTTAAATATATTTTTTACTTTGTTGTCGTTACGCGCTGGGAAGGTGAAAAAATAGAAAGGGTGAGTCAGAGATGAGCGTTTACTACTCCCATTCGGTAGTTCCTGGCGGTTTAGATGTTAAGTCGTATAAAACACGCGAGATACCGGGTAGTGATGATATTTCGGTCACCAATTTCTTCACCACCTACAAAAAAAAAAAAAAAAAAAAAAAATTGAGTTTTCAGTCTTGGTTATTACAACGAACGTGTATATATACGTATATCACACTCACGTGCAGTGGCAATTCCTTCCCAGGAATAGCCGGTGTACCAGTCATAAAATCATTAGTAACGAATGGCCTAAGAACAACTGAACGTTGACATGAGGGTATTCGTGAAGCAGCGTCGCGATCGAAATGTATGGGAATTAAAACTACTGGCATTTGACTGATTGCTCCCATACAGCCATTAGTAGCTAATACTAAGTTTGCTACGTGATCTGCTTGTCGAAGCGTAGCTATCACATTCGATGTAAGATGAGTCGGCGTGATATCCGTTACAGGATGATGTAGTTGAGAGCCAAAAATGAAGCACACACGATTTACGTTATGACATACTCGTGGAATTAGTTTTGCGAGGAACAACAGATCCTTCCAATCTATACCCTCGGACAAGTTTTCTTCGCTAGATAATCCTACTACATAGCTGTAACTTCTTCGATCTCCCTGTATCGTATAACAAATATTTCAATCCACGTATGAACTTTGTTAGAAAATGACATTATTTTCAAGTGATAAACATCATACCTGCACCCCTACACTGCGTATAGGCAAAAGTGTTGCAGAAATATGTCGGTAACTCGAAAGCTGTCGCAAATACTGACGTTCAGATTCACTAGTTGCACCTTCCACACGATTCAGTAATCCGTGCTTCTTTTGAAGCATTTGTTCGTATTCGGCCATTATTTTAACTATCACCTTGAATCGAATTATTTGTTTGTTATGGAAATATTTCTTTCCTTTCTTTTATTGTGCCGTGAAAAATAGAAATACCTGTGTTTCCGAGAAATCTTTATCCATATAAGGTTCATCCGCGCATAGAATGCGCACAGCTAGTCCAGGACCGGGAAACGGATGACGAGCAACCAATGACGCAGGTAACCCAAGATCACATCCTAATTGTCTTACTTCATCCTTATGAAAATCTTTTAAAGGTTCTACTACATGACCTTGTGCTCTTAATGCTCTAACAAGTTCACTATCATTGTGATGCGTCTTTATTGCATCTGCTTTACCTGGTAAAAGCGTTTACATTTTATATAAATATATAATTTGTCGTTTCTGATAGACGTGAAAGAAGAATACATTTACAACTATCAATTTACCACTAGCTAATGAACTGGCACTTTCTATAAGGTCAGGCCTAAGAGTGCCTTGTCCAAGAAATACTTCCTCTGGCTTCAAACCCATCTCTGCCATTGCTTCATTGGCTACTCTTACAAAAACATCTCCTATAATTTTTCGTTTTTCTTCTGGATTGGTCGTTGCACACAACATTTTAGTTAATCTAGTTCTTGGGCTAGTTGCTGTCCCACATATTCCTTTGTTATTTATAGTATTTGTATTGGCTACTGGAGTAACATTATCCAAGGGAACAGATGTAGTTCCTTGCATGAAGCAACGTCCGGCATTCACAACTCTTAATCGAATTCCCAATTGTGCTAAACTTTGTTCCACAAACTGTGTCTCTCCTTTTCGCATAAAGCCGTTATTGATATGCAGAGCTATGACTTGTTCCTTATTTAAAGCTTTATGTAGAAGTGCTGCACATACTGTAGAATCCACACCGCCGCTCACTAATAACTATGACCGTTTTTTTCTATTTTAATTGACACTTTGTCGTACCTTATACTACAGTTTTTAAATATTTTCCGGAATAAACCATTGTACAAAATTATTACACAGTTAAGGAATACGGATTCTAGTAATTATAGTACCCAAATATCAAATATAAATCTGTATCTTACCAAAACTTTTTTGTTGCCAATCGTATCTCTGATGTACTGAATACACTGTGCCTCTCGACCGCGGAGCGTATAATTACCAGTGAGGCCAGCGATGCCGAACAAAAAATTGTGTAACATTGTTTTTCCGTTGGGTGTAAGATCTACTTCTGGGTGAAATTGTACTCCATACAAGTTCATTTTATCACTTGCTATTCCTGCTATAAAGTTTGATGATCTGGCAGTGATATGAAAACTATCAGCCACCCTATCTATACTGTCTCCATGTGTTAACAGTACCATTTGCTCTTTCTCCAAACCCCTGAGAAACCATTTATTTACTTAATATCTCATATCTGAAGTGTCGAGTGGACCATTTGTTTCAGACTCACTTACTTAAATAACAGGCATTTAGAGTCTATTTCAATGGGAAACTGACCATCTTCTCGGCCCTCTTTACTTATTACTGTACCACCAAATTCCTTATTCATCATTTGCATGCCATAACAAATACCTAGCACTGGAATTCCTATTCTGAAAATGTCTGCATCGTATTTAGGTGCATCTTCTGCGTAGACTGAACTTGGCCCTCCAGAAATTATGATGGCTCTAAAAATTTAGGTTTAAAATAGTGATTATTATTTGTATACAATATTGTATACAACATGCATGTCCATACATATACAAGAATGTCTTGTTTCTAATATAAAGACAATATGTGCCATCTTACTTATAACCCTTTTCTTGGAGAGTAAATGCAGATGTATCCAGGGGCAAAATTTCACTGTGTACATTTAATTCACGAATTTTTCTATCTATCACTTTACCATATTGTGCCCCTGCATCCAGAATGGCCACTTTTTCATCAACACATGCCATGCCCAATGTTCCTTCGTTAGCTCCATTATTTCTCTCTGCGCGAAACAATAATCCGTCCGCGCTTTTTTCCATTTCAAAATTTCTTGTATTGCTATTGGTATTGCGATGATTTTAATAATCCTACAAATATTTGATAAATTCTGTGAGATATGAAATATAAACAAACAAATAATAAAACGCACAAATCTATTTTTAACTCCTCCAAAAATATGCTAACACTTAGCTACTATAACTTAACAAAGAACGAATTAAAACGATTTTTCTATTTATTAAAAAAAAGAAAAAGAAAGAAAGAAAAAATTATGGTAGGGTAAAAATTATACAATTGTTGTTAACAATAAAGCAAATAATTAAAAAAAAAATTATCTTTCATAAACATATGATGTATCATGGTTTGACGTCAAGACGTTAGGTTATTAGGAATTAATTATAAGTTATATATCATCTCAATTCCACCACTTATTAATTACTGTATCAATCTAATTTCATTGAAAAAAGGTAAACAAAATTAGATTAGAATAATACATTTTGAAATGCAAAGTTTATTATTAAATAAAATTGATGTTACAGACTTATCTCTTTAACAAATGGAAAAAGTTAGAGGGATTTCCCTAATGCGAATAATATCTAAAGATATTGCTGCGTGTAAATATGTATAAGATGCTATTATAGTGTCACAACCCAGTATAAGTTCTAACAACTACTGTACATTATAGATATTTGACTGGTACAGAAAATTTATTTGGAAATACGCACGCGGATATTTTATATTATTTCATGAATAACTTAAATAACGTTGAAAAGAAACCCATCAAATGCAACATTTAGCAAAAAATAAATAACCGGCCGTAAATTTTACGAGCACGTTTCTTAGAAACGAAAGTACTATAATAGCGCATCTATTACATGAATCATCTTTTTAAAGGCTAATAAAATGCAGCCAAGGACTTACCAAATTATACGAGGCAGAGAATATTTCACGCGTAAATCACCAACTAACGTAAAATTAATTACAGCAAAACAGAATGTGCACTCTTTGGACGAGGCAGCCATTCAATCGCCTGCAATAGCCACAATACAGTGACTGCCTTCAGCTTGAAAGTAATGTAGAAAACCAACAACACAGTCTAAAAGTTCCTAGCAAAATTCAATACTTGCTACGTTAACGTACATATTTTTATAAAAATATTCCATCACCTGACGATTTTACGTAACTGTTTCGTGCAATACTTGATATTTCATGGTTTAACGTTCTCCCTTCGGTGACTATTATTTTTAATCATCAAGTTCTCCTACGATTCGTCTAGGTTTTTTCTTCAGAGCGACTAACGTGAAGATAGTAAATTTTAGCATTTATTGAGCAGCATTTTTTGGGCATGTTTGAGGATTATATGTTTATTGTTTCTTATACATTTATATAATAAAGGTACATGAAAGTATCATGCGCAAGGTTAACAGCTGCTGTCTGTAACGTTCAGTTATACGTTAATTCAATATTCTCGATTATCAGGGAAATAACCTGGCAGTTATGTTAGGCGGCGTTAAAATAAAACAAAAGTTATCTTATCGCGCGAACGTTTTCGCAATTTAAAATGTTTCGAAATTGTGGTTTCACGGTGTCGTAAATCACTCTTACTATACACACGTATGCACATTAAGCAATGCATTCAAATGAAAATCACTCACGACAAATTCCAGTAAAAGGGGGATAAAAAAGGAAGATAAAACGAAATAAACAAAACGTACAGAATTTCGTAAAATGTCGTCTGTACATCAGTATTTTTTATCGGAGGAGGAAAGGAATAGTTATGAAATAAAGAAATACGTTACAGACGATGTTTCCAAGGAGGTCGAGTATTTTTTACCGACCGAGGTTGCGGTTCATAATACAGAAATTGATTGTTGGATCTCCTATAACGATATGGTGTACGATCTGACTGATCTTTGTAAGGTTTGGGCGAATAGAAGAGAGATCAAACCAATACTGGCCTACGCTGGTAAAGATATAAGTCATTGGTTCGATCATGAGAAAAATGATATTAAATATTACGTACATCCTGTTACGGGAGCGTTGGTACCGTATTGCCCTCATGGACCGATCCCGGATGTAATACCCTCTGTAGTTCCTTGCAGTACTTGGCGACCATTGGATAAATGTCCTTGGTGGCTGGACGACAAATATAAAAAAGGACACTTGACGAAAAACGCACGTCCATGTAGAATTTTAAACGTCCTTGTTGGTGTGCAAGTCGTTATAATGGTAGAAATATTAAATTTTTGCTCCTCCAGAGAAATATGAATTTCACTGGATTTAATAGATTTTTCAGATTTTATTTAATAGTCCCGATCGATTCTATTTTAGCATGTTTAATAGATTTCGTTTGAATTCTATTCCTTAGAATAGAAGTCGTTCTTAGCCGACGTGTTAACGAAAGAATTATTCTACAAAGGTCTGCGAGGAAGATTCCATCAGCCGTATCCAAGAACGTGCCCTTGTTTATAACAAAAATGGAAAATCTTATACGTGGAAATTCGAAGGGAAGGATTTGAATCTCGATTTAACTCTGACAGAAAATGGTATTCCGGATGAACGTGAACGTTTCGCCGCTTGTGGCATTCCCGACGATTATTATATTCCATGCCTCATGTGTTATTACAACGAATAATAATATAGCTTATAATTAAACAGCGAGAAACTGGGAAATGTTTCCCAGGGAGATGTAAAATTACTATTATTCTGCGAAAAGATTCCTATGGTACCCTCCATTTAAACTTGAAGAGAATACGAAAGATGGCACCACGGCCACAACATGTCTACACGATTCTAGCCAACTTTCACTTCGAGAAACGAAAATCTGATTTTGTTTAGAAAATCTTTGTAAAATTTGACGACAATGTTTCCATCTGCGATGATTCGCACATCACGAAATTTAATGTCGCGTATTTTTAAATCTTATTGTCTTCCTATTAAAAAGGATACTTTTCAAATTACTAATACGCAAATTAATCCTTTCTCCTCGAAATCTATGAAAGTAGCTATTTTGGGCGCTGCTAGCAAGACTGGTAATTTAGGTTCACATCCATTTCATTTCTCTATCGTATATTTAATTATCTATCGACTTTGCTGCCACGTTATAGGAAGCGGTCTTGCATTATTTTTAAAACAATCGCCATTGATCGACGAAGTGGCAATTTTCGATAGCAAATGCATTTACGGTCTCGCGCTGGATTTAAATTATATCGACACCAGCTGCAAGGTTAGTACGTGTAATTGTCCTGGAACAAGTCTCGAGCATACACTCGACGAGGCGAAAGTAGTAATGATCGTAGCAGATGAAACGATCAAAGAAAAATCGAACGCATACGAAGTCTTAAAGTCTAACGCAGACGTCCTATCAGACTTGCTACCGAATGTTATTAAATTTTCACCTCAGGTAATGAACTAGCTCGATTAATCATTGTTATTATTAATGATCAATGATTTTTAATAAACGAAAAAGTATTTTAGATATCTTTCTTACGTATGTACACTGTCTGTTACGAAAGTATTTAAACATGGAAAATTTTTATGAGCGTTATAGCAATTTCTTCGACATTGCATTAACACAAGAAATTTTATCAGGAAACTCAATCGTCGTCAATGATGAAATTTTTAATCAGTTTGGAAAATAAACAAAACACATTTAGGTATTTTACAATGATATTAAAATGATCTACATTTAGAACAACTGTACAGCATGAATATTATTGTTATTAGTTTTACCAAATACTGAGATATTTAATGTAATGTAATAGATAATTCTGTTATTAATAATTTTGATGCTTTTGTAAAGTGTAGTTTTGTGATAACTAGGCATCTTGTAACTTTTATTCATATTTTTGAATTTGTTTTTAAACTTTATTTTTAATTCCATAAAAAAAACGATATAATACGTATGTGATATGATGAAACAATGTTTCTGTTCAAATACTTTCGTGTACTTGTACTACATATAGTACTTATGTACTTATGAAAATATAGTCACAGTTATTCATCCAAGTCTTTATATACCTCTTTCATTTAAACAAAATAAACAAAGCAATACAATAATTTGTAATAACACATTTGCTTCTTGATCTCGAATGCAATAAATTTGCAACAAAAACTCGCGATACTTTATTCCAATATAATAAGTGAGATTTTTATAGGGTATGAAGACTTGTGGATGAGTGTATACGAGACGATAAAGATGCGTTATAGATTTGTATAATGGCACAACGCTATGCTTTATCCGTGACACGTTGTTTTTTGGTAGTTAACCTTGGCTTTTAATGCCCTCGCAGTTTTCATTAATTACGAGTAGGTTGTTTTCGACATTCCTCGCGACGATTTCAGCAAGGACAAAGGACATTTGCCTTTGTACATCTTTCGCTTCCTTTATAGCGATGATGCTCCGTCTCTTTACACGCAGGATCGATTTATTCGAGACTCCTCGTGGAAAAATAAGAGAGAAATATAGAAGCTGCAAGGCACCGATTTCAACCGATTTTGCTGGATGTATCTTTCGCGATTTTCTCTTACCTTAGGCTATGATCGCAGTCGTAATGAACCCGATAAACAGTTTAATTCCTCTGGCACTGGAGATGTATAAAAAGGCTGGAATTTACGAGCACAATCGGCTGTTTGGTGTAATTAATCATTATTCTCTTAGAGCGAATACCTTCGCTGCAGAAATGATAGGCATTGAACCAGAATACATGATGGTACCTATAATCGGTGGAGGTTGTTGCAAAACGTGCATTCCACTCTTCTCACAAGCAAAACCATCGAGTAAACTGTCCCAGGTTATTACTAAAATTTTACTAAATTTCTTCCGTATCTCTACCAGTTTGTATCTGATTAGTCGTGTCTGTTCGTTAATTAATTAGACAGAAATTAGAAGATTAACGCACGCCGTGAGAATGTCCGACGAAGAGCCATCGAAAGCAAATAAAGACGAAGAGAAACCGTGTTTAGCAACATCTTTCGCTGCCGCAAGATTTTGCGTGTCCCTTTGTAAAGGTATTATTACTAGAATGTGGATTTTTAGACGAATTCACATACTTTGAAATATAATTAATAGATGAGAGGTAGATATAATTTAAAAAATTAGAAAGACAGAGAAATAGAATAATAGAGAAGATATTATAAGTTATAGA